CCTCTGCCCAGAAGCCAGCGCCCTGCTCTATAGCAGAGCCCATGCCTGGATTCCTACGTAAAGGGAGTGCAAGTCCCTTCAGGGTCCTGGAGGATTTTAGTGGAAAAAGTGATTTACAGAGTCCATATGGAAGAAAAAATGTGCGAGATTGCCAAGAAAATCTGGAGGAAGTAGAGCTGTGAGGGAGACTTGCCCATCAGATGAAAACCGCCACGGAGGGAGGAGGGGCTGGCCAGGATGGAGCAGTCCAGTGGGGGACCAGACAGGGACCAGGGACACACAGTGACCTTGGGAGCTTAGGATACGATAGTGGTGGACTACAAGTGGGACTTACTTCACCTCTCTATCCTTTCCTTCCTTTGACATTTATTGAGCACCCACCACCTGCTAAGATAAAAGGTCCACAGTTGGAGAGCCCTGCAGGTCCTGTGCCAGTGTTCTGCCCGGGACTAGACATCAGACCACCCCAGTGCTCTGGTGCTCATTCCCATTTCTTAAATTCACACTAAGCACCCCTAAATTCTTTAAGCAACAGTACTTAGGGGACATAATCATTCTTCTTTGTAGAGGTAAAAAAAGAAGTGCAGAGAGGTTAAGTAATTTACCCCAAGTCACACAGATAGCAAACCATGAGGCTGATGCAGCTTCCAGCTTCCCTGGTCTAAATACTTGTGCAGAAGTGGGATGCATGTGGTCCCTGCCCCAATAGGAGTTTATAGGCCAGACAGGTGGAATGGGAGGGACAGAGTGATGTCATCCAGAACAGAGAGGCCGGGTGCAGGCTGCCATCTCAACAGGACCCTCTGTCACATAGGACCTGTTAATCAGGGCCAGCAAGCCCCTGCCCACCAAGCTCTCTACTGCTGAGTCCAAGCACGTGACATTTGAGTGGGCCTCTCAGAAGCATAAAAGTGGGCAAACAAGTGCCTGGGAGGCAATGCTCAGGCAGACCTTGGGTCAGGGGAGTGCACAGGTGTGAGGTGAGGCTCAACGCTCCCTCCCATCAGTGGGTGTGAGATGTGCAGCTGACTGAGTGTCTGTGTGTGAACATGGTGCATCCGAGTGCAGGAGCCTGTGTGTGTGTGTGGTACGCAGTCCCACTCTCCACCCCCAGAGTCAAGCTGCAGACACAGGCTCATTCCAGGTGTGGGAGGAGGGGCAGGCTAACTGGCTAGCTAGCCTGGGATCAGTGCTGGGACTCATCAGTAAACACTCCCGGATATTGTGTGGGAAAATGGAATATGGATGGTGATGATGGTGGCAATAGTGATGGTGATGGTGGTGATGATGATGATGGTTGTGATGTTGGAGATAATGGCAGTAAGGGTGAGGGTGGTGGTGGTGGTGATGATATTGGTGATAATGATGGTGGTGATGGTCATAATGATGGTGATGGTGGTGGTAGTACTGATGGTGGTAGTAGTGATGGGGTGGTGATAATGGTGGTTTTATTAATACTGATGGTGGTGATGTTGCTGGTAATGTTGGTGGTAATGTTGAGAACAGTGGGGGTGGTGATGGTGATGATGATGATGGCAATGATGATACTGATGGTTATGATGGTGATAGTGATGATGATGATGATGGTGATAACAATGGTGATGATGGCGGTGGTGAGAATGGTGATGGTGGTGGTGGTGATGGTGGTGATGGTGGTGGTGATAGTGTTAATGATGATAATGATGGTGGTGGTGGTGTGATGATGATGGTGAGGATGGTGGTGATGGTGATGGTGATGGTGGTGATGGTGATAACGATGGTGATGATGGTGGTGGTGAGGATGGTGATGGTGATGTGGTGGTGATGGTGATGATGGTGATTATGATGGTGGTGGTGATGGTGGTGATGGTGATAATGATGGTGATTATGATAGTAGTGATGATGGTGAGGATGGTGGCAATGGTGATGGTGATGGTAATGGTGGTGATGGTGATGGTGATGTGGTGGTGAGGATGATGATGATGGTGATTATGATGGTGGTGGTGATGGTGGTGATGGTAGTGATGATGGTGGTGATGGTGATGGTGATGCTGAGGATGGTGGTGATGTTGAGGATGGTGATGGTGGTGGTGGTGGTGGTGGTGACAATGATGGTGGGATAGTAAGAACACCTCTGGTCAGGTCTTCCCTCAAGCTGGAGTCAGAGCAATGGGCCCTCCACACTGACTATGCTTTTCACAGATTGTGCACTTGCTTGTCGATGGACAGTCTCTTTGGTGGCCCCAGCCGTTTCCAGTCTCTAGGGGTGTGGCCATGGGGCGTCTGCCTTGTCCTGCATGGAGGTTGGCTATTGGAGGCGGGTCTTTACGCTTGCAGGGTGGGGGAGCTGAGGACTCCGTACTGAGGGGATGGTAAAAGCACTTGAGTTCTTAAGAAGAGCCCAGGAGCCTGCATGTCTGGTCCCCTCGGGATTCTTGTGTGCACTGGATTTCAGATCATCTCTCCTCCACCACTGACATCCTGACGCTGATCGTCCACTTCTGCACAGAGAGGGAGGTGGAGGGAGGAGGGAGCCAGAATCTGGAAAGAAGCTGGGCCTCTCAAAACAGGAACAAGGGACATTCCAAGGAAAGTGATAAGATCAGCCCGCCCAGGTCTGGGATCTGCAGGCAAGTCCAGGCTCCCCCTCCACTGTGAAGGCCACACCTTGAAGGGGCCCCCGGGGTGAGAGGAGGACAGAGCCGGGCACAAAGGAGAGGAAGGGGTCTCTATAAGACCCCTGCCATGAGCCTGCCCAGGGCTAGGGAGGAGCCTGGGGGCCTAAGTGGACAGATTTTGTGAGAGAGCAGGGGTTGAGCCCTGCCCTGGGGACAGAAGGTAGACTCACCTGGTGGCTAGAAGGCAGCCAAGAAGCAGCTCATTGCCACCCTAGTCCCGAGCCCACTGGCCTGTTCTGGATGGACCCCTCGATCCACAGCAGCAGGGCCCCCACGGGGCAGCATCTGCCTCTGGAGAGAGCGTCACTGGCCTTTGTGCCCAGAAGGGTGTGTGCCCTGCTCTGGGAGGGCCCTTCAGACGTGCTTCCTCCCCAGAAGCTCTCCAAACCCATTCTCCCTCTGCCCACGTCTCCCCTGTCAGTCCGCCAAGGCGGCTCCTGGTCTCTGGCCCTGCATCCTCAGAAAGCCAAGAAGCGTGAGAGCAGCTGCGGCCCCTGGGTCCCACGTCAGGCCCTGCCCCTGCTCTGCCTGCCCAAGCCGGTTCCCCAGCCTCTCCCTGGCATGTCACTTGGGTCTCCTCCCCAGCTCTTGGGGGCCTGCACACGCCCCTATGCTCTTCCTGCCATCACAAGCACCTCCCAGCGGGCAC